CTGCATATAAAGCTCTGAATGGATTCTGCATCCACCCATTCACTTCTTAATTCCTCTGAGACTGAACAAATTCTTTTTAATGTCTCTGTCACTCATTTTGGTATTTAGTTTACATTCGTGTCCCCTTGTTCGTGCACTAACCCTGTTCTTGTCTACCCTGTCTATTTATTCCCTTGAGCATTTTGTATGTGGTAATCATGTCTCCTCTGTATCTTCTCTGTTGAAAACTTCAGTGTTCCTACGGACCCATGAGCTAGTCTCATTCATTGGAAAAAAAATGTTTTTCCTGTTTTATTGTGATATTACTCAAGTAGGATGAAATAAACTATCGACTTTTTTTACCACATTGTGCACTCTGTGAGCAGTAGTTTATTGTGCACCTCATACCTATCCTGTGAGCAGTAGTTTATTGTGCACCTCATACCTATCCTGTGAGCAGTAGTTTATTGTGCACCTCATACCTATCCTGTGAGCGGTAGTTTATTGTGCACCTCATACCCATCCTGTGAACAGTAGTTTATTGTGCACCTCATACCCATCCTGTGAGCGGTAGTTTATTGTGCACCTCATACCCATCCTGTGAACAGTAGTTTATTGTGCACCTCATACCTATCCTGTGAGCGGTAGTTTATTGTGCACCTCATACCCATCCTGTGAGCAGTAGTTTATTGTGCACCTCATACCTATCCTGTGAGCGGTAGTTTATTGTGCACCCCATACCCATCCTGTGAGCGGTAGTTTATTGTGCACCTCATACCCATCCTGTGAACAGTAGTTTATTGTGCACCCCATACCCATCCTGTGAGCAGTAGTTTATTGTGCACCCCATACCCATCCTGTGAGCGGTAGTTTATTGTGCACCCCATACCCATCCTGTGAGCGGTAGTTTATTGTGTACCCCATACCCATCCTGTGAGCGGTAGTTTATTGTGTACCCCATACCCATCCTGTGAGCAGTAGTTTATTGTGCACCCCATACCCATCCTGTGAGCAGTAGTTTATTGTGCACCCCATACCCATCCTGTGAGCGGTAGTTTATTGTGCACCCCATACCCATCCTGTGAGCGGTAGTTTATTGTGCACCCCATACCCATCCTGTGAGCGGTAGTTTATTGTGCACCCCATACCCATCCTGTGAACAGTAGTTTATTGTGTACCCCATACCCATCCTGTGAGCAGTAGTTTATTGTGCACCCCATACCCATCCTGTGAGCAGTAGTTTATTGTGCACCCCATACCCATCCTGTGAGCAGTAGTTTATTGTGCACCCCATACCCATCCTGTGAGCAGTAGTTTATTGTGCACCCCATACCCATCCTGTGAGCAGTAGTTTATTGAGCACCCCATACCCATCCTGTGAGCAGTAGTTTATTGTGCACCCCATACCCATCCTGTGAGCAGTAGTTTATTGTGCACCCCATACCCATCCTGTGAGGGGTGTTGCAAATGCAATACAGAGGACACAAAGTTATTTGTCAGACCTCAGTGGCTACTTGACCTTAGCCCTTACAAGCTGTTTGCGTATCCTAAGATATAATGATCTAAGACGACACTTCTTGCACTGCAATTGCAATGTATGTCAGCATTTTGCTATTTAAAATATATATTTGTGGTGTTTTTGAAATATATTTTATAAATATTTGCTTGGCATAAGATATAAGAATTCAATGTTGCTATGATATAAGAATTCAATGTCGTTATGATCTTCAAGAGGAAACTAGATTGTTTCCTCCAAGGAGTGCAGGACCAACCAGGCTGTGGTGGGTATGTGGGACTGCGGGCCGCTCCAAGCAACAGCCTGGTGGACCAAACTCTCACAAGTCAAGCCTGGCTTCGGGCCGGGCTTGGGGAGTAGAAGAACTCCCAGAACCCCATCAACCAGGTATGATGGTCGTGTAAAAGACAAGGATAGAGCAGTTACATTTTCTTGAGGATTTGCGTCTGCAAGAGATCAAGTAACTATGTCAGATGACCGAACATTTTGGAACCTGCAGACTGAACCTACTGGACACTATAAAAAGGATTATAACCTTATCAAATTATAGTGCAAATTATCAGCAGCTTTAAAACTGATCCTTTCACACACACACTTTGTTGTCTCAGTTGGGGACAGGAAGCCTGGTAGGCTGATCAAGGTCCCCCATTAGCCAGATATACTCGATTACAGGTTAACTGTCATACACCCATGACATTTAACTGACAATACACATACACACACTAACTACTAGAAGTGAAGAGGTTCGTGGGGGAAGTGGCTGAGAGCCGGGTTCTGCCACAGCGTTGGCCCCGAGGACCGCTAACAACAATAACCTGACCGAGCAAGTTATTACGTCTGGCCTCAGGCTGGGCAACAAGAGGACCGGGCAACATTCGGCCCGATCTCTAGTACAAATAGCTCTTATCCCAGTGCCGTCCCTAGCCATCACAGCTCCGCTGATCAGGCCTATCCTGCCGGAATTTGAACAAGCAACCAACCTAACCTGTAGAGGCTGATGCATAGAAAACTTAAAATATTTACGTGCTGTAATTTGAACTAATACGTCGCAATTTTTTGACGGATTGGTTGATTCCGTAGCAAATACGAAGTATCAGGTGGGAGGACAGGTTCAGAGAAGGTCTATTCTATGTAATTCACATTCTAATAGATCGAACTATGGAAGGTATATTGAAACAATCATTAATTTGTGTTGAAAGTGTTAATTAATATTTAATTTAATTAAATATTAACTGGGATCTGGAACTAAGGAGAGGGTTGTATAGTTGTTAGCACACTTGGTTAGCACAACCGATGGGTCCCGGGTTCGATTCCCACAAGACAGACACGTTTTGGTCCGTTTCCTTTCATCTGATGCATCTGTTCAACTAGAAGTAAACAGGTACCTGAGAGTTAGCCCACTGCTCTGGACTGCATCGTGAAGGTAAGCAGTTGATCTATGGGGGGGGGATGGAGGAGGGACCTTCCACCTGATGTCTCTGTTCACCTAGATGCAAATAGGTATTATGGAGTTGGCCTGTTGTGGGTTGCACCATCTATATGCCAGGTAATATGTAATTGGATGTATGACAACTAATTTGTAATTGGGTGTATAGCAGCTAATATGTAATTACCTGGAACATACCTGGAGAGGGTTCTGGGAGTTGTAACGAAACAGGTATAGCAAGATACAAATACTCATGGAGATTCGGGATGATACAACAGCTTAGCAGCGGAGTTGCAAAATCTGTGATGAGAGTGACGGACACTGCCTTGGCCACTACCTGAGAGAGTGTGGACATCTAAGAGTCATTATAAATATGTGTAGAATAATAAACCCCACATTGTTAGGAAAACACTATTTGTCAAAATATAGATAGTGTTCTTAAAAAGATTCCCTCATTTTGCACCCGCAAGACTACGTAAATTTTAAGGGTTGACAAAAGTTAATCTTCTTGTTTGAGGAGCTGTTCACTTGAGACAGTTAAGCAAGTCCCAGCTGTGTCTGGGTACAAGTGACAGGATGAACAACCCAGCGGGTTTTCTTCCTATTGGGGAGTGTTGTACATGCTGCTATGGCGGTGTGACCACTCACAAGATGAGTGGCGCTGCCCAATACTGTCACTATGGCGGTGTGTCCACTCACAAGATGAGTGGCGCTGCCCAATACTGTCACTATGGCGGTGTGTCCACTCACAAGATGAGTGGCGCTGCCCAATACTGTCACTATGGCGGTGTGTCCACTCACAAGATGAGTGGCGCTGCCCAATACTGTCACTATGGCGGTGTGTCCACTCACAAGATGAGTGGCGCTGCCTAATAAACTCGGGACAAAATTATATAAAAAAAGAAGTGTTAAAGGCTAGTAGACGGTCGGCAATCAGAGCCAAGACCTCTCCTCCCCGCTCAGTAAGTGCTGGTTGCAGCACCTCCGTAAGTACCTGCTGAGCTCAGTCATTACAGTGTGTTTATATTGTTATTACACAGTCGATATTTATCACATGCGAGAGGAAGTTGAGTTTTTGTTGGTAGCTCGTTGAGTAAGATGGTAAGATGATTGGCAGCAGAAGGTTCCTGAGCTACACAAGGCGTTGAGTAAAGGGTTCATTAAGCTACGTAGTGGTAGTAGTAGTAGTAGTAGTAGGCATCCATCAGTTTCAGGAGACTATGGAGTTGCGCTCTGGTTGTCGGTCTGGAGTAGCCTCTCTAGGGCGCAAAGCCAGGGTAGATTGATACAGCGGAGAAGCTGTCACCCATGCAGCAGGTCCCCCCCTCTCCTCAGCACCGAAAGTCTCCAATGGAAAGGCCATCGCCAATACGATTGGTTCCAGCGCCGTGGAGAGGCTTAGGAACATAAGACTTTATTATTCCATATTGTCAGTAATCATTCCTGTAATTTGTGCAAAAGGAGTTGTTTTCGTGAGTATTAATAATTTAAATGTGAAGAACAAATCCACAAGGGCTTTGACGAGGATTCGAACCTGCGTCCGGGAGCATCCCAGACACTGCCTTAATCGACTGAGCTACGACATGGTCAAAAGGAGTTTGAAACCGAAACCATTTAACTGGGTTAAATGTGAAATATTTGTAGCAATCTGACTACTTTCTCTGGACGCTTGAGTAAAAGCAAGTTATCTCCAAGTTCGTCAATGTTTAACTTTGTCCATGGGTCTGTGGACATGTAGTGTGTGCTTCAGAATTACCAGAGAAGGCTGACGGCAGGCTAAGCTGCAGGAGTAAAACTCTTGAAATTGTCAACAGGTACTGGGAAGTATAATGCAACAGGTATTTTAACAGTTTGTGCCCCACAAAACCCTTAAATAACTGTACAGGAATATAATAGGATAACCATTAAGCATTTCCCTTCAGAGAGCCAGCGAGATCCATTTTTGTCTTGCTAATTTCTGTAATATATCTTGTTTCTACAGGAGACCAGCAGACCAGTATGGGCTGTATAGAGAGGCTGCCGGAACCATGTTACCTGGTTCCTTCATAGGCTGAGTGTAACATTTAGTTTTTCCTGCAGGAGAGCCCCCAGTAATCAAGGAGCACCCCAGCAATATGGTGGCTCGCCGCAACGACCCCGCCACCCTCAACTGTGCCGCCTCTGGTGCCGCCCGCGTCAGGTGGTTCCGTGACGGAGAAGAGGTGGTCACCTCCACACAAGACCCTCGCTCCCACCGTGTCCTCCTGCCCTCTGGTTCCCTCTTCTTCCTCCGTGTCACTGCCACCAGGAAGGACAGTGACACAGGCACCTACTGGTGCGTGGCGTCCAATAGCTACGGCACTACACGCTCCCACAATGCCACACTGACCGTGGCCACCCTTGCGTATGACTTCCAGAGCCAGGCAGAGCCCACGGTGAAGGCCAGGGTAGGTGACTCTGTCAGCCTTCCATGCCGGCCGCCCAAAGCCACTCCTCCGCCTGAGCTGACCTGGCTGAGGGACGGCCGGCAGGTGACCAACTCCAGTCGTGTCAGCGTCACTGAGGCTGGAGACCTGGTCATCAGCCAGGCCGTCCAGGAAGACTCTGCAGCCTACGTGTGTCGAGCCCGTAATGCTGCTGGGACCAGGGAGTCTTCTCCAACTCAACTCACAATAATGAGTAAGTCATTGCTTCTCACTTTGTATAATGCTTCTTTCATTATATCTTGTACTGTATATCTATTATCTCATCCCACCTTCAAATTTAAGCACCACTTTTATGTATTGATAATTCAGTCTCGTTAAATATAATTGTATATTTCTTAACAAATATATATATATTCCTTTGACAATGCCAGTAACCTTAAGCAACGAAAATTTTACATTCTCAGCTCCACCGTGGTTTGAAGAACGACCATCAAATGTGACTGCCCCATCAGGTGTGGTGGTGGAACTCACATGTCGAGCACGAGGGTCGCCCACACCAACTGTAACTTGGCGGCGGTTGGATGGCAAGATGCCACAGGGTCGTGCCAGGATAGAGAACCAAAATGAACAATTGGTGCTGGAGCAGGTAACACCCATGGACTCTGGTGTGTATGTGTGTGAGGTGGAGAGTGAGGCAGGCATAGCTTCGACTCAGGCCATGGTCACTGTGGTGGACGCACCACAGTTAACACAGAGGCCACAACGACTTCAGGCGATGGCAGGGAAAAGGGTGCAAGTCTCATGCCGGGTGGAAGGCGAGCCTCGGCCTTTAGTACTGTGGCGTCTCCCCACACTAGACAGGACTGCTATTCTAATCACCGGCCAAAGCAGTGGCCATGCCTCTGTGTCTGATGATGGCCAATCCCTCCTGCTGGAGCAAACAGCAATTGAAGACAGTGGCACATACTATTGCTGGGGTGTCAGTAGTGGTGGGGGTGTGAGTGGAAGAGCAGAGGTAGTGGTAGTGTCAGCTCTTCCACCACCAGTGGTAGGTATTGGTCCCAGAGATCTTATGGTTGCCCCAGGAAGCATTGCCTCCTTTCCATGTGAAGTAGTGAGTGAGGCAGCAGAAGCCACCATCTCTTGGTGGTATCGTCCAGCAGCTCATCTGCCATCGCGTCAGCTCTCACAAGACCCCCGTATCTTTTTACCAGATACAGGGGCTCTCATTCTCAAGAATGTACATCTAGATGATGCAGGAATTTACACCTGCCGTGCTGCAGCAAACACAGGCACAGTGGAAAAGGCAGCAGTTCTGCGAGTAGAACATTATGCCGATGCCGTAGAACCATTGCTCCTGCCAGCACCTCCCACCAAGCCACGTCTTATGGCAGTTAATCAAACAGCAGTGCAGCTGAGTTGGCTTCCTAACTCTCAAGTGAGTGGGGAGTCAGGTCAGAGGTATATAATAGAATACTGGCGACACGGCTGGGATGAATGGCGAGTGGCTGATGCTGTTATAACACAGGAGTCATGCATAGTGAGTCACCTAACTCCCGGATACACATACACCTTCCTGGTTCGTGCTGTCAGTAAAAGAGGGGCATCATTTCCAAGTCCCTGGTCAGACCCTGTCACCACACGCCCTCCTCGTGACCCCAGCCTCACTATGGACCAGGTTCGCCAGGCTCGCCGCCGCCTCTCTCGCCCCATCGTCACCCTCACTGATGCCACTGTCACTGCCCCTGACAGTGTCCTGCTGACCTGGGACTTTCTGGGTCCAACAGATGGGTCTGTGGAGGGCGTGTTGGTATACTCGGTGGCCGAGGTGGGCACTGTGCAGGTGGCTACTGTCCTGGGCGCCTCATCTTCATCCCACCTTCTGCACGACCTGCGTCCCAACACACCCTACACTTTCTTCATAGTTCCCTTTTGGCACAGCGTTGAGGGAACACCATCAAACTCCTACACACTCACTACACCTGAGGATGGTAAGCTATTTCAAGTAATTTGTTCTTTAATCCTTATTTCATCCTGTTCATAATATTACAAGCTTCCTTCATCAAGGTTATCAACGTTTTTGTGAATTCTAATATTATGTTGTTTAGATGTCAGGAGGCAGACTTTCATACAAGATATGGTGTTATCTCTGCTATCAATAGATCGCTCAGGAACTCAAATGAATTACTCAAAAATAAAATAAAAAAATTGAATAAATAATTTATAGATTGTATAACCATAATGTTTTGTGTTACATTAATCAGCTCTTGGTTCATAGTATAACAATATTTTACTGATTTACTGATAAAAAATAATTATAAATTCAATCATTCATCTATAATAATTTTTAAATGGTGGTAAGAAAACACAATGGTAAGAAAAATTTGGACACTATTTTTCCAGTTTTGCTTACTTAAGGTTCTATCACCTCTATATTTTTTTTAATGCTATTCCAAGGATTCTACTGGTAAATATGCAAGAAGATTACATTAAAAAAAATGTCAAAAGACCCATTGACTCATTCAAGACACCTCCCATATGTGCAGGTGATGTGTCACAATAACGTGGCTAAGGTATGATGACAAGACCACACACTAGAATGTGAAGGGACGACGACGTTTCGGTCCGTCCTGGACCATTCTCTAGTCGATATCGACTTGAGAATGGTCCAGGACGGACCGAAACGTCGTCGTCCCTTCACATTCTAGTGTGTGATCTTGTCATCACCTCCCATATGTACTTATCTAAACTCATTGGTATATATGGTATGCCTAACCTTCGCTTGAAACAATCCAGTGATTTCATATCTGTCATGTTACTTGGTACTTTGTTGTATAAACCATCAACCCTGTTTCCAAACCAGTGAAGACCCGGGTCTTTTCTAAGGCTTAACTCCTCCAACTTGTAACATTGGTTAATGGTGTATTTTGCCTTTTGTGCTGTATTAATACTTTATTAATATCCCCCTTTGTTATACCCTTGCATCCATTTGTATATTTCAATCACGTCTCTCCTTCCTTTTTTGCCTTTCTAAAGAATGTAAATCAAACTTTCCTAATCTCTCTTCATAAGGGAGGTACCAAATTCCTTGGATTAACTTTCCATCCTTTTCTGTGCATGTTCTCTGTATACTATGTCCATTCTACTCACCATCCATCCACTCACAGTGTAAATGTTTGCTTGCTTTTATTTTAATGTTCTGAAGATTATCTTTCCTATTATCTCCTTTCCAGTGCCTTCCGTTGCACCTGGGAATGTACGCGTGAATGTGCGTGAGGAAGGCTCTGTACTCATCAGGTGGACGAGTGTGAATGCTGAGGAAGCCCGCGGGGACCTGGTGGGTTACCAGGTAACAATAAGCCACAACGGGAGCCAGACCACAGAGACTGTAGTGAGTCCCTGGTTGGAGGCCCGTGGTCTTTTGCCTGGTCGCCTTTATACTGTGCGTGTAGCAGCCGTCACAGGGGCAGGTCCTGGTCCCTTTAGTGACCCTGTTCTGCTAGATGCTGGGCCCAACGATGCCCACAGCACTCAGAGAGTGAACTCAGATGGTGACATTGGGGGTTCTGTGTTATATGCCCCACCACAGCCTGCATGGCTGGTGTACCTGCTAATACCACTTGTACTGCTGGTGTTTACTGCCACATTAATATATGTAAGACGGCTACGTCGTAAGGCACCCCCCTCCAACCCACCTCATGCCCCAGCCCTCTACCAGGATCCTTCCATCTATCCTGACCACTCTATCAATATGTACAGTGAACGCAAATCGTGGCGCCCCTCAGAAAGTGACAAGGAATCCAGTTTGTCATCAACACGACTCTTGCGTCCGGATCAACTTCCGAATGAGTATGCAGAGCCACGGGTGCAACGTCTCAGTGCAACATCAACAGAACCATATGCAACTACAGCACTGCTGGCACCAGCATCACCTCACCTTAATCACAGTGCTCACTGGCAGTGCAGTGATGACTCTGGTGTACAGGTGAACTGGACAGCTTTTCTCCCACCACCACCATCTTACCCTCCTCCCCCTGACCTGGACCTGGGTGACCCAACAGGCAACAGTAATATGCACAGAGAACAGAGGATATGTATTTCCTCTTCACAGTATGATAACATGGGTAAGTCAGAGAAATACGATCGACCGTGTGATGCCTCTGAACACACTTACGATGTTTACACACAGATGACACCCACTAACCGGCGAGATGGATTCCTTACGTTCAGTATGGGACAGAGCAGTCACAAGGTTCGTGCTGACTGTCATCCTCCACCCCCAACGCAACCCCCTCGGAGTAACACACATTAGTACAGCAGTCAGCTGAGCCATTAAACTCGGTGTCCGCTGGATCATCCAACCCACCTTCCAGCACCACAACAACCAGTAAAGATGTAGTAGCAAGAAAGCTAGTGAAACTCCTCAGGTCTTTAGGAGCTAGTGGTGCTCTTTAGACCTGCAGGAGTGAACAGATGAAGGAGCTCCGCGGAGGACCAATACATCCTCAGGAGGCCGTACGTGTGTCTGTGATGTAATCTCCACCGAGCTTATATGTATATGAATGATGGTAACACTTTGCCTCTGGATCCAATAGCATTGTTATTGCTGGTAAATAAAAACCAGATAAGAGTAACAAGATTATTGCCAGTAGCAAGAGTGTTGCCTTGGGGGGAACACGAGCGCTACTCAGATAAGTTTTCCCAAGTGGGAAAACTTATGTCTGCTTCCACTCCTTCAGGTTCTGCTGAAGGATGTAGAGGAAGTAGATCTTGATTAGCTGCTGCAGAAGATGGTCACAGTACTATCACAACTTTATATATTACTAAGAGTGATGTTACTCGCGCTTTTGTGATACTTTCCTCCACACTCTCCACTGGTCTGTGATGGCACTGTCTTCGACCCTATAATAGTACACTAAATTCGATCCTACGAAAGTATACTTACAATTATTTTTATATGATATAATATTTACACCGTCCACTACTCTATGATAGTAACCTGTAGATATATAATTGATGTCTCTGTGATGGTCACACAGAGCACACTCCTACCACCCCTGTGGCAGAGCACACTCCTACCACCCTGTGGTAGAGCACACTCCTACCATCCCTGTGCTACTACATTAAACCAGCCACTGCTCTGTGAGAGTACACATAGGCCTTACTCAATCATATAATGGTAAGCTTCCAACTTCCTTGGCCATTTTAGGATGCGCATTCACGTTCTTCAGTGTTGTGAAAGTACACCATCTACAATTGTACAACGGTACACATACACAACCTTTCACTTTATGATATACTTACAGGCTCTACTGCTGAGAGAGAGCGTAGTACTGTCACATCATTCACCACCAAATGCTAATGCACTCAAATCATCCTCTATGTCATGATATTGCACTTACACCATACACTACCAACTTACTAGTACACTCCCATTCCTTGCACTATTACAATGGTTCACATACATACCTCACTTCCCCTTATGTGTTGCAATAATACATGTACAAGTCATCAAACCACCGTGATGCTACCACACCTGCTTGAACAACCCTCCTGATACAGTGTTGATGTAGCTATAAATGATGTTCCTCCTAGTAGCAACACAATATTTCTAGAGCAAAACATCATACTCTCTTTCTCTCTATCTCTTGTGTTGTTGTTTTGTGTTCTTTGAAATCCTCTGCCCATTGAAGGTCATAGAGCAGTCGTCACAACAAGTTTTATTAAAACTCATAAACAGGCAACCCAGCCCTATTGTGCCTTCACCCTATTTTATTCCCACTAGTGATGCCATCTTACACCCGCCACACGCAGGCTACCCAGCCCTACGAAACCTACACCCCATATTGTAGCCACAAGCACGCTAGCGGTGCCCACCACACTAGTTACACAATCCTACACCCATCAAACACTGGTGAACCCACTCTTGCCACTCTATACCCACTACACATGAGTGACACCACTCAACACTTACGACACCACTCAACACTTACGACACCACTCAACACTTACGACACCACTCAACACTTACGACACCGTCTAACAGCCTCACTGGCAATGCTTCCAAACAACCAACAACAATTCGTGATATGTACTGTGGCGCCAAACAGTGCCAGCCGGTTGTGTCACATGTACGCTGCCACGTGTTATTTGTTACTAGTCACATGTATATATGTACAGATATATATTATTTTTTATATTAAAGTTTGTACACGGAAGTGAATGGTTTTATTCTTTATATCCTACTGCTGACATAACGTCTATGTTGATACCCTGTTCCAGACATAGAAAGTATAGATAATTTATAAACTTGCCAAGAGACTGTCAAGAGGCATTCTGATTTGCCAAGGAGAATGAGTTTACATAGACGAAATGAGATAAATTCTATCGTTCAGAGATTTAAGGATGTGGTGCTAAGTCTACTGATCACCACTTACATTACAAGAAAATAATGGCATTTCGCTGGTTTATTTAAATAATATTTGCTATTTAAATAATCCAGCCATGTCCCCCCAATTTGTATAGGGACATGGTAATACCTAGAAATATACATTTTGGGATAAAGGTATATGCAAAATCCACGCAAACACGAATGTAAAAATTAGCTCCTCAGGTGATATGTAAAGAAGACATGTTCAGCTTTTGTTCATAATAAAAGGAGAACGTAATGTTTGTTGTTCTTCTTCTCGACCCCAGACAGGGTCATTCATTTATTAAATGGTAGTCAGAATATACTCATTTCTGTCTGTCCTACATAAACATGGTTAGATTTGCGCCAGTACATAGAGTTTAGGAGCTGTTACAGTACATAGACGGGGTTAGAGAGCTACCACAGTACTGTAGACGGGGTTAGAGAGCTACCACAGTACTGTAGACGGGGTTAGAGAGCTACCACAGTACTGTAGACGGGGTTAGAGAGCTACCACAGTACTGTAGACGGGGTTAGAGAGCTACCACAGTACTGTAGACGGGGTTAAAGAGCTACCACAGTACTGTAGACGGGGTTAAAGAGCTACCACAGTATATAGACAGAGCTAGAGAGCTACCACAGTACATAGACAGAGCTAGAGAGCTACCACAGTACATAGACAGAGCTAGAGAGCTACCACAGTACATAGACAGGGCTAGAAAGCTACCAGAGTACATAGACAGCTAGAGAGCTACCACAGTACATAGACAGAGCTAGAGAGCTACCACAGTACATAGACAGAGCTAGAGAGCTACCACAGTACATAGACAGAGCTAGAGAGCTACCACAGTACATAGACAGGGCTAGAAAGCTACCAGAGTACATAGACAGCTAGAGAGCTACCACAGTACATAGACGGGGCTAGAGAGCTACCAGAGGCCAAGGAGCACCCAGCAACAACATTAAGACTTACTAGACCTTCTCCACACAAGACTCCAGTCATGGGTCAAGGAATGAGTAAACACTTGTGAGTAAATAAAGCATGTTTGTGGAGTGGAGAAGGTGACTCAGCTGACCGTGGACAACGAGTCTACCTCCATGCTAGCGGCCGCTGAGGACAACCCAAGCCTCTGTGTTTAATGTATATACCTAGTACAATTATTATATATTCTCCCAGCCACTTGGGCTGGTCGGTTTCCTGGCTCCCGTCGTGGCCCCTAGGGAGACGGATGCTTAGTTAAATTCATAAATATCACAGGAGGGGATGGGGGTTCCAGGGCCATGATGAGGTGCCCTGAGCAGGCCCTGACGAGGCTCTCCAACAGTGGTTGGGGTGCTACCCACCGCCGCCTCCAACGCTGGATTATCCAGTCGTTCTGGCCATTTTTATTCTGTTTTATCGTCACAACAGTAACTGTTAACTGGGGGAGTAGGTAACTGTTTTTGGTGGGTGAGGGCTACAGCTGCCCAGTTAATTAACTGTTATTGTGAGTGATTAGCGGGTGTGGAACAATACCATGTGATGGGGGGTGAAGAGTTGCCCAGTTAACTGTTGTGAGGTGTGACACCAACACAAGGAGGATAATAGCCAGTTACGAGGTTACCTGTTAGCCATAAATGCTCCTCGGCTCTATCTAATGAGACCATTTGTTTATGACAGACGGGACTCTCACGTCAACACTCGTTAGTGCCTTAATCAATCTCCAAGACGCCAATCATAAGTCAATTTCCTTTTCGACCAAAATAATATTAGACTCCGTCTTCCCCCTCACGAAGATAATGAAAAATATTGTATGAAACTCGAAACAATTTATTAAATGAGCGAGTCAATGGGTGAATTAGCATGAAATATTGCACAGAAAACCCTAACCCAATGATAAGAAATTACCTAATTTTGTTTTTAACGGTACTTGAAGCAGCTGTTTATTATTGGTAAGCATTTAATGGAAATTACCTCGAGTGTCTGTTTTAATTATGTTGGATATGTTGCCTACACCGCGACGCGAGGTTGTGGGGATGTATATATGGTGGGGTTGTGGGGGGTGGGGGGGGGGGGAGGTGGGGAAGGATGTTGAGGAGAGGGTGGGGGGGGGGGGGGGAGACTGACTCGCCAGACTGCAGCCACAACAGTGGAGGCTGCCACAGTATCATCACACTCGAACCCTTAATCCTTCAACTGTGTTTGCCTCAAGTCTCGATGACTATCTGTACACACACACACACACATACACACAGATACACACATAGACACACACACACACACACACACACACACACACACACACACACACACACACACACACACACACACACACACACACACACACACACACACACACACAAAGATGTGAGTACACACACACACACACACACACACAAAGATGTGAGTACACACACACACAAAGATTTGATAGAGCCCAATTGCACAATTGCATCCAAAATCTGCACACCAGTTGATTGACAGTTGAGAGGCGGGACCAAAGAGTCAAACCTCAACCCATCCCCCCCCCCCTGCAAGCACAAGTAGGTGAGTATACACATACACACACACACTTGTTTAATTATATGGATGATGAAATACTAAAACTGTTCATGACTTCTGTGAGACCAAAATTGGAATATGCAGCCGTTGTATGGTGCCCAAATCTCAAGAAGCACATCAATAAACTTGAAAAGGTGCAAAGGCACGCTACAAAATGGCTTCCGGAACTGAAAAACAAGAGTTACAAGGAGAGACTAGAGGCGTTAGTCATGCCGACACTAGAAGAGAGAAGAAAAAGAGGTGAAATGATCACCACTTACAAAATACTAACAGGAATCGACCAAACTGACAAAGAGGAATTCCTGAAACCAGCATCTTCAAGAACAAGAGGACACAGAGTCAAGCTAAAGGAACAAAGGTGCCGAAAAAAATATTAGAAAGTTTTCTTTTGCAAAGAGATTGGTAGACAGTTGGAACAAGTTAAGTGAGGTGGTGGAGGACATAACCGTCAGTAGTTCCAAAGCATTATACGACGAAGAGTGCTGGGAAGACGGGACACCACGGACTCTCATCCTGTAACTACATTTAGGTAATAACACACACGCACACGGGCAGGAGTAACTGGTAAGGTGCTCCAGTGAATAAGGGAGTACCTAAGCAATAGGAATCAGAGAGTTACTGTGAGAGGTGAGACCTCAGGATGGCATGAAGTCACCAGTGGAGTCCCACAGGGTTCTGTACTCGGACCTATCTTGTTTCTGGCATACATAAATGATCTTCAAGAAGGTATAGACTCATTCCTCTCAATTTTTGCTGATTATGCTAAGATTATAAAAAGGATTAAGAAAGGAGGACAGCAAATGGTTACAAAATAACCAGGAAAACTGAAGGAATGGTTCATTAAATGACTATTACAGTTTAAGTCGACCAAAAGTCAAATAATGAAGATAGTTGTAGGTAGCAGGAGGCCAGATACAAGGTACATTTGAAAGATGATGAAACTTAGAAAGATGAAGAAATTTAGAAAACTGTGTAAATAATCATTTAGACCCTTGTATACCACACATGTCAGACAAATTCTGGAGTATGCTGCTCCAGCATGTAGCCCGTGTCTAGTCATGTACAAAACTAAATTGGAGAAGGGTCAAAGGCATGCCACCAGATTAGTACCCAAGCTGAGGGGTATGAACTATGAGGAAAGACTACAGGAACTACATCTCACGTCGCTGGAATACAGAAGGAGAGACATAATCACCACATACAAGATTCTCAGGGGAATTGATAGGGTAGATAAAGGCAGATTATTTAACACAGGTGGTACACAAGGGAACATAGATGGAAATTCTGTACTCAGATGAGGTATAGAGGCAAGAACTTTTGTAGTGTCAGAGGGGTAAGAAATTTAATATTTCTTAAATCATTTAACTTGGGCCTACCCCGACCAGCCTATGTCCGTCCCTTACCCCAGGCCGTTTTCCCTGCAAATTTGGGTAATGCTGGCACTATTATCATTATCTGGCCTACAACTTTGGACAAACTGACAGATAGGCAGACAGTATCTAATATGTTTGTTATAGGTTCGTGACAATAGGCTCCAAGACCCTGTGTGCCTGGGGTAAGTGTACACAACGTCGTAAGTGTAAGAGTAAGGAGGTGTACACAACACCTTGTTAGAAGCCAAAGGTCATGTGACACTAACCTCCAACATCATGGCTTATACGCACTCCTGAGGTCATTTGTGTGTCCAGTTGCGGAGAGATTTCCAGTTCCATGTTTATTGCCTGGACGTATCAGCCAAGGATCAGGACTTGAGTCTAATTATAAGTCAGCAAATGGGCCATTATGTGTCGCTTACTTGGCTATCACGTAACGAGGTGAACACTGCCCTCTGCCCGGGACATCCACCCATCTATCTCCTCGCCCCAACAAACATACAACGCTATTATTATTTGGTAGCAATGTTGTTGTGTTTGCTTCTCCGTTCCTAGTAGCGTGTTGATGTTATCTATCTGCAAACAAACACACACAGATACATTGTTTTTAAACGTTATTTGTTTGCGCAACGTTGTACAAAAGTTTAAATAATGTTGTGGTTATGTTGTTGCAGCATTGTAATAACGTATGTTTATTTAATGGCCATGTGGCTAAGCCACAGCGAGATATTTAAGTGCCTGGCTACGAAGCACTTGGACTGCTCGGTACAGCGACGGTTTCGCTCGTGGTTGGTCCGGGTTCGATCCCCAATGGTCCAAGGGGTTAGGCACCGTTCCTTACCATTGTCTACATATATCAGCTCCTTATCTTTATATTCCAGTTCCTTTTCTTCATATCC